CGTAGTCCTCTCTCTGCTCGTGTCCTCTCCTCCCCGCTGCTTGCATGGTCATCCTCCGCCTCCTCCGCCCTCCGCGTCCCGTGCTTCAATGGTTGGTCCCCTCGGCATTGTCTGCCCAGGACCGCCTCAACTCCGTATTCCACCGCTTCAAGAAGGATGGGGAGGTTCACAAAGACGCCTTAGGCCGCTGTGCATTTTGAGCATGAGGGTTAGGAGGACGAGGAGGTGAACAGGAGGAGGAGGAGGAGGTAGACGAACGATCATGACTGAAGACGAGAAAGAGAAGGAGAGAGGATGCCTATTGATGAGGAGGGGGGAGCAGAGGAGGGGAATGGACAAGAGGATGAGGTTGAAGAAGGAGAAGGACGAGCGGAGATAGAGGCGGGAGAGGGGGGAGCAAGAGGACAGGCAGCTGCACCATTATTCTCCTAGGTCTTCGGGCAGCCGGAGGGGCAACGAAGAAGAGAGCTCCTGTGAGATGCTCCGACGTTTTCCCAAGTGTCGAACATAATGCCGCTGGTTGTGTCATGTTACATCGTGGGCAGGACTCATGTTTGTCCATTGCGCGTTATCTCGCTTTGAACGACCGCTTCTTCCCAGGTCACACCATGTTTCAGATCACTGCCCTAGTATGCTTAAACCAGCTCGTTGTTGCTCTTCTCTCATGCGAGGAACCAGACTGGCAAGCATGCGCATACATCAGGCTATCAGGCCTGGCCATGTCCTCCATTGGTCCTGGGCCGGAGTATAATCCCTCCTGGCCTACGTAGGCAGGAAGGGTCTACATGGGTGCTGACCCACATGTTTTCCGAGCCCCAGGATGCAAGCCAGGATCGGTGGTTGGGGGAAGCGCGCTGATTTCGGTCACGCTTTGGGCCAAGATGGGTGGGAAGCACCGCGTTCGCCATTGTGGCCTCTCCGAATGTCACCGTCACTGAGAACCCAGTCCCGCGCGCATGTACATCAGTCCAGGACCTGGTTGGACCCAGGCCTGATGGCTGGTTCTGTATAGCTTCTGGTCTCGGATCCTCCTCTCGAGCTCAACCCCCTTGCTCGCACGTTTGCAGGCAGTGACGAAGCGTCCCAGTCCGATAGTGTCCTGGTCTAGCAATGCTTAACACGTTGCGGTTGATTTATAGCATTATGGCCGGTACACTTCTGGCTTACGCTTTAGATGGATTCGACGGCGGCCTCCCAGGCACATGGGGCGTTCCAAGAAGGGCCTTGCCTTCGAGGATCGAAGGAGCTGTCATCTCTTCCTCGGCGGAAGGGTCGGCGGAGGGTCGGCGGAGGTAAAAGAAGGACGCCGGCGGAAGGGCGGTTGCAGGCGGCGGAAAGAAAGACATGCGCCCCCAAGAGATGAACACGTTTTTGGGTTCAGGGTTCTTTGGGTTCAGGGTTTGCAGGTTTTGGGGTTCAGGGTTTGAGATGAAAGCGTTGTTGGGGTTCAGGGTTTGCAGAATCGGACACGTGACCTATAGCTTTCGTAATCAGGGCGCTGGCTGGTTCTCAGGCCATATGTCGTGGTAGGCGGCCGTGCTGACCCAGACGCCTGCTGCCGCGCTTGTCTTGACACGCGGGCCCCAATCCTCTAGACTCAAGCAGTGGCGAAGCGTCCCGGCTCGCCTATAGCCCCACCAAACAATGTTCTAAGAACCTTTTGTAGTTCCCACGAAATGTTCTTAGAACATTTCTGGCTGGGACAGTCTTGTTTGAACGCATCGGGTTTATGTTCTAAGAACATTGTTTTTGTTCTTAGGAGTTTTCTGGGTTCTCAGAACATTCCGTGGTATGATTATAGGAATGCCTGGACGGTCGGTCCCTGCTCAGTAGACCGCTTCCGGGAGCCAGCACGTTGGTCCTGAGTAGTTCTGTAACGGTCCTGGTCTGGAAGCGGCTCCTGGGCGCCGACGTTTACAAGATTTGGAGGTCTGCGTTTGGGACTGTCTGTCCTCGCTCGTACCGCTAACAGACAGCACCACCTGTCTGTCCACTATCTGCGCGGGCTCCCAAACAATACCCTCCTGACTCCCAAACCAGCACACTCGCAAACAACAAGCAGCAAACAACAACACTAGTTTCTGACTGGAGGCTCGCGGTTCGCGGGTCGGGCTTCGAGCATGCTCTCGGCATGCGACCCTCGAGATCCCCACGATCCACCACGGGCCCAGACCGCCTCTAAGAGTCTCGATGCCAGCTCTTGCGGAGGTGGTCCGCGTGCCCGTGGTGGGCCTGCCTCCCGAGGCCCGGAGGAGGAGGAGGAGGAGGAGGAGGAGGAGGAGGAGGAGGAGGAGGACAAGAAGGAGACAGAAGGAAAGGAGTGACAAGGAAAAAACGGAGGAGGAGTAGGGAAAGGAGGAGGGAGAGGAGGAGGAGGGGGAGGAGGAGGAGGAGGAGGAGGAGGAGGAGGGAGGAGGAGGAGGAGGAGGAGGAGGGGAGGAGGAGGAGGAGGAGGAGGAGGATGAGGAGGAGGAGGAGGAGGAGGAGGAGGAGAGGCCTCCGCGAGGCCCCGAGGGCCACCGCGGCGCTGGGGATCTTCCCGAGGGCCCGGAGCCCCGGGCCTCCGACGGCGCGGCCCCAGACCTCGCCACGGGTCGGGGTGTTTGTCGCGGGCTTCGGCCCTCCAGGAGTCGGAGGGTGCTGAGTCCATTCGGGCCGGGCGAAAGGGGGAGGAGGAGGAGGAGGAGGAGGAGGAGGAGGAGGAGGAGGAGGAGGATCGGGCTGGACGAAAGGGGGGGATTGGGAAAGGGGAGGTTACGACATCTGCTGCATGCAGCTGGTTTCGGCCCCACGGAGGGCCCCACGGAGGGTGCTGAGTCCATGCGTCACCACCCACCAAACCACCCCAACCCAACCTGAAGGCCTCAGTTTGCCCTCCATTTCCAGTTGGGGGGGGGGGGTCGGGGAACACTGAGAAAACACGTATGGAACCCGTACCCCCCCCCACCCGAAATTGGGGTCTTCGGGTTGGGTTGGGGTGGTCTGGTAGTTAGTCAATGCGGAGTGCAGTCGGCCCAGATTAGTAGGTCGGGCCGGGCGAAAGGGGGGATTGCGAAAGGGGGGGTTACGACATTTGCTGCATGCAGCTGGTTTCGGCCCCACGGAGGGGCCCATTCCTGGATACATGGCCGCCTGCGGCGCCGGGAGGCGCCGGAAAAATCAGCTACGTGAGCCGATTCTCAAACCCCCCCTTTGCTGTCCCCCCTTTCGCCCGGCCCGAGAGTCGGAGGGTGCTGAGTCCATGCGGAGTACAGTCGGCCCAGATCAGTAGGTCGACCCTGCCAAATCGAGGGTACCCTCGTGTCCTGTGTCTCGCGACCCATGCTTCCTGCATGCCTGTGGCACTGTGGCCCTCGGAAGGGTCTTGAGTCCTCTCGCGTGTCCTGTCCAATCGAGACCGACTGTGAGTCCATGCGGAGTGCTCGGTCTTCGTATGGGCCTTTTCTCCGTCTGGATTTGGCCTCCTCTGGCAGGATGCGAGGTCCATACAGAGGAGGCCCGCAGGGAGTGCTCGGTCTCCGTATGGATGTTTTCTCCGTCTGGACTTCGCCTCTCCTGGTAGCTTGGCATCGCTCGGACGTGTGCATTTTTCCTCCAGCGAGCACCATCGAGGAACATCCTTGATGCTTTGGCGAAAAAACCACGCACGAAACCGAAAAACACACAGGGAATGGACGTCCGAGCGATGCCCAGGGTAGGGCGCTATGCCCACACGGAGGAAGCCCGCCGGGAGTGCTCGGTGTCTGCACGGACCCGCTCCGTCTGGACTTCGCCTCGCCTGGGAGCCGCCCCCGGGCCCCAGGGCCACCATCACCAGCCTCGAACCTATCCCTATCCCTAAGATTGACACGCTAAAAGGAGATGACAACCTTAGGGATACACCCTCAGAAACTGAGGAAATCCCTAAGATCGACATCGTGATGAGGCGATGCCCAACATAGGGATAGGGATATGTTCCAGGCTGGTAACACCAGGAAGGCAAGGTCGGGACGGAAGGGCGGTCTTGCGGAAGGGGTCGATGGCTCCAGAGGCCAGCGGTCCGCAGAGATCGGGTCGTCGGAGGTCCACGGAGGGCGGGGAAGAGGAGGAGGCGAAGAAGGAGGAGGAGGAGGACGAGGACGAGGAGGAGGAGGAGGAGGAGGATGAGGAGGACGTGGCAACTCCAACTTCGGATCTGATGCCACCAGTATCTAGTGCCCAGGAGGAGGGGGACCAGTGTAAACCCAGGATGCATCAACGCTGCGGCCACTGCAACCCTCCCCTCCCAAGCCCCCTCCCCAGAAGACCCATCAGGTTTATCAAAGTCCTTGCGGCTGGTTCCACCGACCCTGACAAAGCGAACGGCTTGGGCGCAAGAGGCACAAGGGGGATAGGTCGGGACATTTGTATGAACCTTCTGCAGCTTCTTGGGAGGCCTCTAGGGGCCTCTGTGGGACAGTTGGATCCGTCGCGGAGCCTCTTGGAGCCTCTAGTGAGCCTCCCATGGGGTCTTGGGGTTATGTTAGAGGGGTTGCCTTTTTCAGCCGTGCGACAGTGGCCTGTCTTTTGGATCCTATTCGGCCGTCTCTGGGGGCTTCTTGGGCCGCTTTGGCTCCTATTCGGCCGTCTCTGGGGGCCTATTGGGCCGCCTTGGGCTGGTCCTGCGACCAATGTGGCGACAGCCTCAAGATCATGAAACACCGATGGAATTCAGAGAATGTTGGCCTGTTGGGTCAGCCCACGACCTCCACGATGGCCCGCGAGGCCTCCGGGAGCGCCGAGTGCCAGGTCCCCTCGCCAGGCGTCCCTACAGCGCAATGGTTCCTTCCCGTTGCGGGAAGCCCGCCCCGATGGATGTCCTCAGGAATCCGATGGGTTTCCTGTGGAGTCTTAGGGCGATCTTGAGGCAATCTTGCGGAATTTCCAAAAGGAATTCTATAGATTGCGTTTTTGGAAATGCATCGAATTTCTGGAAAGTAACATACAGGACTCCCACGGAAATGCATTCATCGCTCTGGCGGTGTGCTTTGGGAGCCGGAACGCAGCAGAGCCACAGCAGGCAAAACAAAAATGCAGCGCGCCCGGGGGGCCTGCCACCCCAGCGAGCCCCCGTCGTGTGCAGGATGCGCCCTCCACCCCTCGAGCGTGAAGCGGCGCACGGGGGCAGGATGACAGAGTTGAAGGAAGGGTCCAGCGAGAGTCGGCCACGCGCAGAGGGGGGTGGGGGGAGGGGGGAGGGCTTCCTAGAGGCGCCCCTGCTTCTCATAAGGCGCGGGCCTGGTCTGTAGGTGTAAGGCCCGCGCCTTCCCAGAAGCAGCCTCCTTCTATCGAGCGCCCTCCCCCCTCCCTCCACCCCCTCGTGCGCACTGCCAAGGTGACCCCGGTGTGACACTGATCTGCCCTCCAGCCCGCACATGCAGTGCACGCCTGCGGCGTGTTGGTCATGAGACCGTGGATGCCCTGAGCGAGAGCCCCACTCTTCAGGAGCGACAGAAGGACGTACACGTACATGAATCCACGCTGGTTTCGAGAGTACGACGCATTGCCCGAAAGTTCGTATCACGCGGCCAGTCTCGCGGATCGAGGGGCCGTGTTCGTGTACATAGCTGGGCGCGTACGTCCTCTGTGGGCTCCCTAACTCTGAGAACGAGCCCCCCCTCCGCCCGTGCAGCTGCCCTGCGCTTCCGCACCCTGGGCCCTTTTTTTCCATCCGTGCAACGGTTGCACAAGACGGCCCAAGAGGCTCCCAAGAGGCCCCCAAAACGGCCCAAGAGGGCCCCAAGACGGTCCAAGAGCCCAAGACGGCCCAAGAGGGCCCCAAGACGGCCCCAAGAGGGGGACCACGAACCGAAAAGTCGCGGCTCACATACATGAGAGGAGCCTTCGTGGCGCTCGGACGTGTGCACTTTTTCTCGGCGGGGATCACTGAGGAGCATCCTGGATCATTCTGCGGAAAACCACGCACGAGACCGACGAAAGCATAGGGAGTGGACGTCCGCGCGATGGCCAGGAGCTGGGTCATCGCTGGGTCATCTCCCGAAGAAGCAACGGGTCAGGCCTGAATCTGCTCTGGCCAGTGCGCGTGCTGCCCGAGCGCTCATGCTCACGACATGCACTGTGCCAGCATAGTTGACCTGCTGGCGGTCTCATATACGAGGGATACATTCTGAGAGGAGCTCTCAGGCGAGAGTCGCAGTTTGTAAACGAGCGGGCCTCCGTCCTTGTATGTGGTGGAAGCATCCGAAACGAATGTGCTCGGCGATAAGGCGCGAGCAGCACTTTGGAAAACGCTGCCACCCGTCTATCCGTCTAATTTCAGGAAGCTGTTTCAGAAGGGAGCACGCGGAGGCTAAAGCTAGGGCTGCGTCTCGAAAATGAACTTGCCCTCGTCCCTGTCAGGGGGCTGCTACATCGAATGCGCGCGGCGCGAAAGCGAGAAGACTAGCCCTCAATCCTTGCATCTGGTCTTAGTAACTACTGGATGTGCGCGGCGCTACGGCGACAGCCGCATCATGACCAGTTCTCCACACTTGGAGTTTCTGGTGCTCTGAACCTTGAGGGTCGTGCGTTGCCCGGCAGTCCGGCGCGAAACGTTCGGCCCGGCCCGCAGTCACGCTCCGTGACGCGACGTCGACTGACCCGTAAGAGCCACCTGACAGCCGAAGTGGAATGTGGTGCGATCCAGGGTGCCAACCAAAAGGCGCCTTCTGAGAACAGTGGCCTCCAAGCGGCCAGCGGCCCCCGCCCATCTTGGTCACGTGCGCGGCCGTGAGCGCTCAGGACGGGTGGCGCAGGCAATGCAAACGAGAGCAACACGGAGTCACGATGGTGCCAGCCCCAGCCTGCAAACAACATCACATGGGACATGCCTTCTTCACGCAGGATGCGCAAACCTGAACTACTGTCAACACCAGGGTGGAGAATGCGTTTTTCGAGCAAGGCGCCCTTGCATCCCTCGGTTCTTGACGTCCTTTGCATTAGTCATGCCTCGTCGGTCCAAGGGTACCTTGGCATCTTGGCGCTTTCCAGGTCACTTTCATCCTGTCATGTCATGATTATGGCCGCTTTTGATTGCATAGCCATCTAACACCTCAGATTGTCGAACGCTTCCTCCCTCCTTCCTCTAGTGTTGCCTCGCCGCAGCACCCGCTCTGACCTTCATCGGGTACCACCCCGTAGCCGAGTGGATCAACGAGGTGGCCGAGAAGGCGGGCGCTTTCCCCCCCGGCGAGCTCATTGCTTCTCTGCGGCAGATGCGTCCTGAAGCACAGGTTCGAAGGAGGATGAACCGCCCAGCGCACTGAATCGAACACGTGCGCTCACCCGGAGACCAAACAACTGCATAAACACAAGTTTGTAGAGGTCCTCGCGTTGGACCCCCTCCTGCGCAACATCCAGCGCCGACCCTGGCGCGCCCCGCGCGCCTGGGGAGGGGGGTCCAGCGCCGACCCGAACCATCTGCACGGATCCTGGTCGTGCCGATGTTTCGGTGGTCTACTTCTGTTCGGCCCAGCTCCACCC